ACAAAAATTGGACTTGTTTTCACTCAATTTCACTCAATATCTGTCAGTGAGATTTTCCTCTGTTAGTATGAGTAAATATAACTAAAATTTTATGAGTGGAACTATCAGTTTTAGTTCAAATATTATCAAAAATGTGTAAAATTACCAAAATTCCCAATACTAACTGAAAATTTACTCAATAATTTCACTCAATAGATTTACTCAGCTTTCACTCAGACCGATTTATTTACAGTACCTATAAGCTGCCACAGTGGTTTCTACATAGATCTATTTTAGGGACAATATTTTAGGTCTCGATTAAAGGAATTGGTTAACTGATCAGACGAATAACCATAACCTATATTGTACATTACAGATACGTAAGTAAGTATAGGTAACAATTTAACTATCAGTTTATTTAACCAAATATTAATCGAGACTCAATATATTATTGCTTTTAATTATTTTAATCAAACCATTGCATTTAAACATGATTTTCACCAAAATAACCGGATTGACGGACATTTGTCCAGCACCGCACCCCATACACCACGCCACGAGACGATTTAATGGGGACGATGGAAAAGATAACGCACGACAACCATAGAATGAAGTGGGGTCATTCAATAATGAGTACAGGACATTTACTCCGAATTAGCTACTAGTGTGCTAATACGAGTTTATATGCAAAATTTATTTAGCGGATTTTAGTTAAAGTACTCATTTTTAGTTCAAATATTATCACAATTGAGTAAAATTTCGCCAAAAAATCCTTTTTATTTAAATTATGCCGCTTACTCAGTATTTTAAAGGGAATTCAAAATGTAAAATGTTATGGCAATCTTTTGTAGGTATGCTCATTTATTCGAGTACATCAGCATGGATGTTTTTATTTTCGTTTTAGTGATATTTGTTATTTAGTATCCATGCACATTTTTTAAAACAAACCTCATTTTTTCTATTATCCAGAAACTTTTTAAATCTCTCGGAAAGACCTCTTACATATGGTACTTTAAAATAATTATAATTTGTGTGATTATTATTGTGTGAATTGATCCTCAGTAATTTATTAATTAAGCTTTTAAGGTAATTATTTTTTATTAAAATTTCTTCAATATAAGTTAAATTATGTTACGATACTTAAAACACAGAATGATACTTATACTTCTCGATCTTGTATCATAACACACCATTGTTGGATACTGGAATATAAATAGAAAAGTTGAATATTTTGAAAATACTAAATTGGGAATTTTTATTCATAAATAATACTGTCTCATTTTGATATAAATAAAACTCTCGCATTAAAATACATTCTGTATATTGACTAGTATTTGTAATAATAACTTAAATAATGATTGTTTTAAAAAAATGTGTTAAAACTGACGGAAACTGGCGATCTTATAGTCTCTCATCATTTCACATTATTTACAATTTGCCATGATTAAATCGCATTCGGCCCATGTTTCCCTGCGAATTATGATTTTCCATGGCGTAAACACAAATTATAAGGTCTCAAAGTAAAGGCCTCGTGGCTATTCATCTTAGCTAGAGTTCAGCGGCAATGTAACGCTTCGTTAAACTAAAAGTACTAAAAGTATTACAAATTGCTGAAATGCCTACCTCGCGGGATCGGTGTTCGTTACAGAAAACGCGATTTTGGAAAGATGCCAAGCTTAAATTTTACGTTGCGGCCTACGAGATACACACTGACGTTCATCTTAAAGAGTTTATGTTATATTTTCGTGTTCCAACAAAATGACTGTGAGAGCACTGTGGAAAATACGTTGAAAGGCTAAAATATATTGGAATTTGAAAGTGTACTGAAATTACTAAGACCAAGAATCTACCTTCGTATTATTACTTTTAATAATAATTACCAACTCAGATGTTTATTGTTGGATATTAATTTCATTTTTCTCGAAACATAGCCTTACCTGATGTAATCTAAAATCTAATGGCCTATTAGTTGCTACTGACAATCGTTACCAAAGACATAATGGTTTCACAGGTGTTTATTAAAAGCGATAAGTAACTCATCTTAATGTAATGTTTTCATTATTTCAATTTACATGGAATAAAAATTAAAAAACACATTTATCGGACAATAAAGGTGAATGTGATTAATGATTTTGATAATTCATATGTGAAACAAGTTTTTTTTTTAGGGAAAAACTTCGTAAATAATACCTTCTAAGTCGTCACCAAATTATTTTTAAATTTGTGCAATATCAAAGTTGAAGACAATATTTTGCAATAAATAAAGATTAGGTATTTATGTAAAACATTTTCAGGTGTGATTAATGACCGATTAAATCATTAAAGATCGTTTCTTTTTACTACCTACTTATAAATACCACACACAATATCAACCATTGAATTTAATAAATTGAAAAAAAAAGGTAAAAATATTCAAAATTTGCTAATTCCCCATTAACCCATGAAAATAAGGAGAAAATGTGAGAACTTTTTTACTCTTTTTTTATAGAAAAGTGTAGGTTTTGATGTCAGAAAACATGTGTCACATACATACGCAACCAACAACGTTTTAAAATATATGATTTTTCACGTTTTTTGACCATCTCAATGAAGATGCATTTTTTCAAAAAAAGTTTCAGGTAAATGTTCAAAATTAGACTTCCTACAAAATTGCTACTATGAAAATTTCGATTTTCCCAATAGTTTAAAAACATTTTTTAAATTAAGCAGATATTATGTGAAAATTATTGTTTTGGAGCCAAGATAATGGTCAATTCATTTTTAAATAAAAAAAGTGAATTAAAGAAACGAAAACTGCGGAAAATTCTTAGAAAATTTTATATTCCGAAATTTGAATATTTATGAGCATCAAACGTCTCGTTTTATAGGTTTTCGAATTAATTATGCGCTTTTTAATATTTTCCAGAAAAATCTGTATCCTTTGATTTTTTTTACTTTTACTTAAAAAATAAAAATTTGTTATATGTATAATGAAATTAAAAATTTAAATTTGATGACAATAGGAAAGGATTTTCCTGGAGCAAAAATATAATAAAAAAATTATATCAGTGTATTTTTTTTTATTTCAAAAACAATATATATTTTTAAAAAACATTTATTATTTTTAACAATTTTTTATGGACTTCCATATCTAGGTTTCATATTATATAAAATTGCTTCATTGCTGTTGCAAAAAATTAAAAAAAACGGATTTTTCTTGAAAATGTTAAAAAGCACATAATTAATTTCTAATACACTCTTCATTACCTATAAAATGATACGTTTGATGATCATAAATATTCAAACCTCGAAAAACTATATTAGATTTTTCAAGAATTTTCCGAAATTTTCTTTTCTTTAATTCACTTTTGTTATTTAACAATAAATTGACCATTATTTGGCTCCAAAACATACATTTTCATATAATCTCTACTTCATTTAAAAAATATACAGAAAATCGAAATTTTTCATAGGAATTACTTTGTAGAAAATTTAATTTTGACAACCTTTGAAACTTTTTTTCGGAAGAATGCATCTTCAATGAGATGACAGTTTTTGGTCAAAAAACGCGAAAAATCATAATACCTATACATGTCTATATCTCAAAACGCTGTATGTTGCTGATGGTTGTGTGTGACCTACCTACACTTTTCTATAAAAAAAATCTCACAGTGAAAAAGTTAGCTTATTCCGTCTTTTTATGTCTTAACTTTCCTGGACTACATGGAAATAATTTTAGGTAAGTATGCTTGATTCCACGAGAAATTAACAGAAAAATTCCTATAATCATATGTCCGGGAACATTTCGTTTTTCATAAGATGTTCGAAGTTATGAAAATATCCGATTTATTTCAAGTTACAAAAGACATTTTAAGTAATGATATTGTTGGTAACGACCACTCTGTGATTTACGTGCCCCGACGAAAAGCTAAGATGATTCACTAAACCGGTTTCAAACTTATTAGTTCTTATCAATATGACATAGGTTAAGACAACCAAAAAACAATTTGATTTCAAAAAAAATTACTACCTTGCTTCAAGAATATGTTTATTTGGCACATATTTAATATATTTAATATTTTTCTTCTTATTGTTATTTTTTTTATTCTAATTTCTTCCTTCTTTCTTCTTTCTTCTTCTTCTTCTTATTATTATTATTATCTTTCAATTCTATCATTTTTTTCAATTCCTTGCTTTGGAAAAACAGTTTTTTTTCAATTGTTTCTTGTTTTTTCCAAACTAAGATAGATGTTAAGATTACTTATAGTTTCCTTCTTGTTTTTTTTTCTTTAGGAGTAAAATCCTTTTTACGTAACTGCTTCTCCAACTTTTAGAATAACTTACTATAGCGTTAAAATGATGTACTTTTGTAGAGAAGATAAATGGAGGTACTTTTCCTGCAATAAAAATCCATTATAGGATTGAAGCTTGTGATGCTCCACTCCTCCGCCGGTGCTCGTATATTTTATTTCTATTTCAACTGATTTCACAGATATAATTTTAAGCCATTATACTTCGATCGTTAATGACTTAATGGTATGAGACCTTTTTCGATCTACATGTTAGGGTAAAAACCGTGTCTAATGAACGTACACGATTCCAGGCTATTGTAATAATTACCCACACACAAATGCACGAAACAATACGTTACGAAACGCATCTTCTTTTTCGTTCCCGGTATTAGGGAGTGTAGTGCCTGAGCATGGAGAATCACGTAACAATTTGTGATAATTGTAAATGTTAACTATTGGCGGCAAAAGCAAAAGCGCTTTCAGTTCACTGTCCGCGGTTCGCTAGAGCATGTTACAGTTATTATATCCACCGCTCATGAACGGAACCGTCGGCTTATTCGAAAAGGTGGAATTATGTAACAGACGTCGAAAAAATGTTAAAAGATGATTTTGATTATTCCTGCACCACTTACGATGATAAAACGTTGAAGGACATACAGAGTAATAATATACCGTTCCCCTCACACACCACATCGAAATAGTTAAGCGAAAAGTGCAAAAATATTTACAGAAATGTTTTGTACGTTTAGCATGAATATACACAGAATGGTAAGTATACATTCTAGTTACATAGAGGGTGGTGAATTCTTCTAATTCTAAGAAAAAAAAAACCTATATACGTTTGTTCTAAGCTGTCTTAGAGTTACTTACTAAAGCACGATGCGGAATGTAATTTATTAGACTTAATAGATTATAGTAATTCCTAGAGAACTTAATATCTAATCTGGCAAATATTTATTTACATCAAAGTGGATGTTAGTAAGAGTATGTAGGTATTGAGAAACAAAAGCATACGATAATTAGAACTTACGAAATAAAGTTTTCCTAATCATATAAAATAAGAAACCTATCTTACGCGTCACTCCACCACATTTTGATTGTTGAATTTATCCTTGAGGTGATAAAGAGAAAAAAAGTTATTCATAGGCATTAAGCATATACATTAATTGAAATACTTTGAATAGATTAGCAAGATGCTAAACAATTTGTTCTAAGAGAATTGCGAAAACATTGGTTTTGTTAGTTACCTCTAGGGATAAATCATTGTTAAGAAGTTGCATCTTTAACTAAACGATGCCTATTATGACTGTTGTCACAGAGAAATAAATTATCAAACATAAAAAGTTCTGACTTGTCGTCCACCAAGTAATAAACGCGAAGGAATAATGGTAACAGCGCAATAGAGTAGGTATGTATGAGGATAGGTGACGGAAAATTCAAATAAACCTTTCGGTACACAAATTAATTGTGTAATTCAATTTGGAATAATAAAATAAAATGGAAAATTTTCAAATGAACTATGTTTTTTAAAATCTTTTAGTACAAGAAGTAAAAAATACAGCAGCATAAAAACAATGAAATATTTATACTTTGCATCACAGCGCATATAGGTAACAAATCGAGTGATTTAGTTTGATATTGCGTGCATCTTCCTTTGTCTTCTAATGAGCTCAACGTACGAGATTTCTCTGTTTATCCCCCAGCTCCCGAATTAAGCCTCTCCAAATATCCCAAATGACAGTGATTTAAGGAAATTTACAGTTTAATTGGCTGCAGGCTCCTCAAAAGGAGCCGTACTTTTTAATTTACCACGCGAAGACCAACATAATGCCGTGCGCTATTTTTTATCGCGACAGATTATTTCACACACATTTCTGTGTTACCTAATAGGAATTCCTGCGCTAGCTCCCGAGGCTAGCGTGCTAAGGCGATAGTTTTTGTGGGCCGGTTCGTGTTGTTTGAGATGACGATATGTTTTACACGGTCATTGACAAAAAGTTTTCGGTTAAAGATATGTGTCCACTCTATGGTGCAAGCCTAAATCAACGGCAGATACTGTAATAGTAATACTGGACTGTTTCGGCAATATTTCTATATCTCGATTCTCCTAGAACAAATAGATTATGGAAAAAATTAGTACGGAGTTCACGAAACATAAGATCCCTGTAATTTCTCCAATAAATCATCCTTTAAACGGTCTGCAAACTGGAAAATAAATCTGAATTGAGCCGTATCTCTTGGTGCTATAAATACTAATGGCCACTTTCATGTTTCGGCTAGATAAAGGGTAATATTTTAACGGTTTCAGTTTGTCAAAGAAGTCAATCAGTGACGGTCAATAAAAGGTAATAAAACGGAGATTTTAACAACTCGACTGAGCTACCTGACTTTACTTTTTACGCAGCGGTCTGCCTTAAGATTTTTTAGTTTGATTTTGAGTGAATTTAAATACAACTGTTTGGAAATATATTTCTCCTTACTTAATTAAACATTAGACTTCATTGTATTGGAAGAAATTGTGTGACCAGAATGAGAAAATTCCAAGAATCGGTGAAACTCATTTCTGAAAATTAACGTAATAAAGACGCTCGACTTTCTGGCTTTGGCCAAAAATAACAGAAGGGCCGGTAATTATATACCTGCGGCCATAAAAAAGGACATGCACACCTGCAGATAGCACTGAAAGGAGCAACGAGTCCTTTATGGAGGAATAATTTCGGGTGACCCATGCCCATGACCATGATTATTTATAACCAATATATCTCTCCACCGTCGGCTCCTTTGAACCACTAGATAATGAACAGGTATTTTAATAATTTATCGACAATTAAGATATTCTTATTGCGCAATGTGAAAAATCCTCAGTATTTTTATTGTGGAAATAATGGGGTTTCTCGGAATAACAAAAATACGAGCATATAGAAGCTTCAGTGGTGGATTACAAAAATGTAGGCGCTTTAATTAATTGGATTCTTTATAGCCAAATCCACGGAATTCTAATTGGTTGTTCAGGCTGAAACGCAACAGAAAAATACTTTGAAATTCGTAGAGCGCATAGAAGCAAAATCCTTGAATGCATTTAAAAATTATGCACTATAACACAATTTGAGAAATAACTTCTAGTTTTTCATTTTATTTAATAAGTGGAAAGTGAATAAGTCTTGTTTTAATAGACATTTTTTTTATACAGAAAATTATAGCATTTTAAAACAAGTAGCTATACAAAGGGAATTAAGATTTTCATTGGTAGAAAATATGGCAGCAAGATAAATTATGAAAAATTGTTAACAGACTCTTAGAATAACAAAATTGTTAATTGTGAACAATTCGAGGAAACTAAAATTGCTAAATAATTAAACCTTACTGTTGCTAATATTATTTTTTTAATAGTTGTTAATTTTTTATAATTTTTTAATTATTGAAATTAAAACATTGTATCTCCATAAGCTTAAAGTTAAAAAATGAGTAACTGTCATTAATATTTCATTTATTGATATTTATGACAATTAAATTAAATCCATAGTAATTTACCATTTCATAATAACATTTTTAAATTGACTTGTCGTTTTCTGTGAGCAAAGAGCTTTATTATATAGTATTATTTAATTCTTTTCCAAATTAAGAATAACCCTCTTCAAAGTAACAACTTTAACAACCAGTTTCTCGTAATGACAACATGAGAAAAAGGTTGTATGAACGACCCCCAATATTTTTCGAAAGGAAATTCACCTCCTTTTTTAAATATAACCGGAATCTCCTGTATAAAATCAAAGTTGATTCAAAAGAAGCACTTAGTGCCGGTTAAAGTACCATACATACTATTTATATGTTATAGAATAACATACCTACTATATTTTTCAGTTACGCCATACTCTTCTACATATTTATCAAAATATTTTTATGTTCTACAAGCGTTCCTGTTATTGTGGCCAGACTTAGAATATCCTTTGAAGCCTGGTCTTAATTTTATCATAATATCACAAATAGCCAGCTGATTTAAATACTTGGAATATCTCCTTATAAATGAAGTATTTGGAGAAACCTGGTCAGATCAAAGGCGGCGAGGGCAGGTCCGGCATTAGAAAATTTTCAAACTGTCCAAATTTCAGCCGAATAAAAGTTTCGTATGAGATTATTGTTCATTGATTAATCAAAATCAAATGAGTTTGTATATACTTTTTGTGAACAATATGGATTATGAACCGACTAATATTCTTTCACTAATACAAACTGTTTTTAAATAAACTTAAAGTAGCAGAAAATGATGAAATGTTGACGTAATTTTTAATCATACATACATACTTAATATGCTACATTATTGGAATCTGATCTAATTTAGAAGTTGCTAGTATTTATGTTGCCAAAAGGTAAAAAAATTATAGACTAAATATAATGTCAGCGTGAACTTAATAATAATTTGACACATTTAAAACAAAAAAATTGGGAGAATGAATACAGTCCTTATCACCCTTTGTGCATACTTCATCTCGAACAAATACAGTATTAATGGTTCTTTTTTGGAAGAAAAATAGACTTAAAAATATCTATATCAATCCGTATTTTGTTCTTCGATATATTTAAAAATAGAGATAATTCATAACATAGAGACTTCGTTGTTCAAGAACCTATAAATATTTTTGCTACTAACTGTTTAAGATTATTGTCTCTTTATAATTATTCCTTACACGAGAATGGCGCTCGCAAAAATTGTATCTTTTTTTATTTAAAAGCAAATAGAATAGCCAAAAAATATTTCATAGTTATGTAAAACAACACCAAAACTATTTTTTGGAACATTTTTTCAACGGTATTGGTTATTATCGATTTTAAGCAATCTTTTGCTGTTTCAACGGTTCTAATTATTGAAAATGATTATATTATTACTGCATTTTACTTACTATTAAAGAATATTCTTTGTAATCACTCTATATAAGTAATCCAAATACTTAATTGCTTCTAATTTTAAATCTTCATCTTTTTGTAAACATTTGAACAGTTAAAAATCAACATATACAAAATCTCAATTTTTACATTGTCGCCAGTACCTACGGAAGTTCGTAAAAATATGTAAGTAGTCCGTTGTTAATTATCCTCTAAAGTGAATGGAAATCCTAGCCCGGCCCTGATCACCGGCCGCAAAATATCGTTCGGCATTTCGTTTACAAAGAAGGCCGTTGTATATATTGTTTTGAATGGCTCAATGATGAATCATTAAATCACAAAAAGCACCAATTATATGGTTAATCTGATTATATGGTTATTTTTCAGATAATTTCGTTGTGCCTGGGCATATGCGCAGCACTCCCCAACGATGTTACCATGGAACAGCCCATCCACACCAACAGTATACAGAGGTTCGCCCAGAACCAGGACCAGGAGACCAAAGCCAACGAAGTCAGGGCGCTCAAGAAGGTCTTCCTGTCCAACAGGTCGATCACTTGCAACGACGGATCTCAGGCCGGGTAAATATCTGCTTGTTTTAGTCGGTGTTTGGCGAATTCTCGCTTCGTTACCTGGAAAGAGCAATTTGTGCTTGAAACAAAATGTATGTGAGATGTTCAAACGCAACAAAAGTATTGGATAAATATGGTATGTGTGCGAAAAACCATACAAAGCAGTTAACTTCTAGTTAATGTTTCGCTTCATAGATAGTTTGTGGAAGTTTCACAAGAACTATTTTTCTGATAACTAGCCGCTAGTGTTGGTCGTTGTTGGTACTACCAGCTTTGCAATAATAAAACATAATATAATTTGTAATGTAGGTAAATCTAAAAAAAAATAATTAATTCCTAAAATTTCAGTAAATAAGTCACTAATATTATTTTAGACAATTCCAAAATAGGTAATTATTCGTCTTCATTAAAAAAAACACTTCATATACTTATAGGTTATAAAACACTTCAGGTTTGGCGTAAAGGTTAAATATAAAAAAAATATATTTGACATTTACTTTACAACATATCAACCAGTGACGGATATACTGAGGCATTATTATTAAGAACCCTAGAATTTTGACTCTACTGAGTATTTTGGAAATTGACGAGTGCTTTTAATTTCGACTGGCCCTTCTGACAAAACAGATGGCTTACATTTTATTTCTAAATAAATCAGAAATAGGTCAAAAAACATTTCTTTTCTGAAAATTATTACCATCTTTGTTGTCAAAAACTGAATTAAGACCAAACCAATAGTTTATTTTAAAATTGTCTCAAAGTAGTCGTAATTTCTACATATATCAAAAATTAAAAAAGTTACTTTTATATTTACATATTCTAAGTTATTTTTAATAAATGTAGTGTAAAAATCGACACAGGGAGATACCCAAAGGCTTCAGATTGCTTAGTTTATTGACAGATCTCTGCGTCTTCAAGTTATGTAAAAATATGTCTTATGTAAATGTTGCTGGTTTCGAAAATACAACGTGAATTTTATTTTGAAATGTCTCAATAATTTTGAAATCTGTCAGAGTATGAACAAAAAAATTGGCACTATTATGTTTTTGACATGATAAATAAGAATTTTGAACTAATTTTGGCGTTAATTGTATAGGGCGTCAGTTGTGTAGTGGACAAATTTTTATTTCAGTTGTTCTCATCATATGTGAAAAAAGAAAATGTATAAAAGAAAATTATAAACAAAAAGACTCAACATTGTGCTACATCATCAAAATGTATCGTTAGAAAAAATATCCCACACTATGTTGAAACATTGTATAAGAGAACCAACAAAACCCTTGAGAAATATTTTCGTGTGTATTTAAACAAACGTCCGTATGTACACCACTTTGCGGCAAATTCAAAACTAAATAAACAAGGCGACGTAATTTATACCACTTTCCGCGTTGATAAAAGTACCATCCGAATTTACGAGGCAATAAAAAAACAAATTAACAGTTAAATTCGTGGGAAAATCGGTGTTGCTCTAAAACGCAAATCCCGTAAATCATGGGTGTTCTGTGGCGGCAGAGCTGATGCCGCAAGTTTATATAATTCTTTCATCTCTATTAAAGTAAATCTTAACGAAGTAGATCCTTAAAGTGCATAATGTACTACCGTACAGTGTTGCCAAGCTGAGAACTTTTCCCTAAATCTAGTTATATCTGATATATTTTTTTAGAAATTAGTACAATTTAATATGTAAAACGTGTTCTTTTGATTGAAAAAAAAATAGCGATGAAGTCAAATTTAAAATAAATATGCATGATTTTTAACATTTACACGGAAATTTTAAACTCTAACTTTTTATAAGAAATAAATAAGCATCTTTTGAGATGATACATCAAAGAAACTTGTAGGAAATGTCTTAAAAAAATATATTTACGGCCTCTTCCTATCTCAACTAATAAACTATTTCTATTTATAGCAAACGCAATTTTGTTCAACTTTTACGTTTATGTTTCAACTTGCCAAATTTGCTTGATATTTGTAACAAAGCAAAAGTGCACAAAATATGCGACAAATTAAAATATAATTTTTTAGAATTTATTAATTTTTTCAGACTATTAGAAAATATGTGAAAAATATATTCTAAACGTATATTTTTGACTATGTTGAAGACTGTTTTCCTTTAATTCACTAGAAGGGTTCGTTTGTACGGTTCATGTTACTATTTAGTGTTGCCAAGTTGTCAATTTTTCCCTAAACCTAGATACATTTGCCATATTCCAAATAAAACGTCGTTGAAGCTTTTATGTGCAATATGAATATATTCGTATTATTTCCATACTCCAAACGATCCTGAATGTAGTCCTTCGAAGACCTGGCATCAACGAGCGTTGCCCATCCATTTCAAATACCGTTAGTACACCGTTTAGAACTAGGTTAAATAAAATCTTTATTGCATCAATAGCGGAATGTGTATTAGATTGGTTCTTCTAGGTTCCAATTTAAAAGGTGCCTACTTACGTAAACTCGATTATACCGGAACATTTTAACCATTGTTATTCACTTCATTACTATTATTACGTGTTTTTTGCGTTTTTATCAAAGGCACCGACAGCACGAACTGTTATTATTATTAATAGAATCTAAAACAGTGATTACTGTTGTGCAGTAGAACATAATGGTACGGGAACAACTGGATAAATCTCTCTCTTAGCAGCGTAAAAGTAATACTTTTATCGTTTTTCACCTTTTCCGTGGAAAATATTCAATATAAGCAGTGATATTACCGTAAAATATTCCTACAGGTAGAAAATTCATTCGGTGCGGAATTTGCATTACGATATATGAAAAAACGGAAGCCAATAATACTATTTTATGTTCCTTTATATGTAGATACTCTATCATACGAGTAGGTATAAAGAAATCCCTTCTTTATTTGAAATGTGTTTCATTTAATATCTCGTATAATTTATAATTTTAAAGAGCTTTAGGTGAAACATTCGGCTGTATATTACCGATTTTAAAATGAGTAACTAAAGTATATTTACCAAGAATAATGAATATTATTTATATATTTTCTTGTATTTGTTATATTTTACTTACATTATTGTGTATATACATTTTTTGTTTCTCTTTAATTATATGTTTGGTTACGAGCAATTGAGTTACATGAAGACTTAGCTACCTACTGCAATTTTTTGTTACGCCATTGGCAAAACTCATATTTCTTTCGCTTGTTCTGTTATGAAGACTTTTTATATGAAATCTATTAATAATAAAGCTGTAAATGGGATAGAAAACGGTAAATTGAATAATAATCGGGATTTCCCAATTTAAGGATGTTACAGATAGGTATTAAAAATATGTGCAGAGTGGCAATTTTGTTGATACATTAACTATAAAGTATTCTCCAGTAATAAACTTCTTTTTATTTCGTTTTTGCAGCATGAGTTAAATGAAAAATCAAGTAATACATATTGATAGATATAGATCTTTTGTTCTATAAGAATAACTTTTTTTATAAGTAATAAAGTAACTTTTATCTTTATTTTATATATTATTTGCATTGCTACAAGAAGTTTTTACTTGAAATATACACTCTATAACAAAACAAATGGTAAACTACTTTGGTGTCAGCTCAAGAAGAGTAAAAATATATTTTAAATCTCAGAAATGAAAATTATTTAAAATGTAAAGCGCCTCCTCCCTCACGATGATAATAATTATATCTGTTTTATTACAGATTCTACCTTAGAAAATCGCACACCAGCAAAAAATGGATAATATTTTTGGAAGGCGGATGGTACTGCTACGACCATCACAGCTGCAGGAACAGGTGGCTCAAACAAAGGCACTACATGACCTCTTCACAATGGCCTGATACTAGAGATGGTATGTAGACAATTTCTTAACTATTATATTATTTAAAAAGCGTTCATTATTGAATAACAGGTCCATACCCAAGAATACTGTCATAAATATTATCTTCCATTTCAGTTGGAGGGATCCTATCCCCCAACATGGAAGAGAACCCCTTCTGGTGGAACGTAAACCACGTGTTCGTGCCCTACTGCACCAGTGACTCCTGGAGCGGCTCCAGAGCGGCTTCTCCCAACCAAATGTTCAGCTTCATGGGTTCCTCGGTGGTGCTCCAGGTTGTCAGAGACCTGATTCCTCTAGGTCTCGAAAACAGCACCGATCTGCTTCTGACTGGCAGCAGCGCTGGAGGGACTGGAGTCATGATCAACTTGGACTTCGTCCAAGAGTACCTTCACGAGCAGATGTCGCTGAAACAGATACACGTCAGTGGGGTGACGGATTCTGGGTGGTTTCTGGATAGAACTCCCTACGCACCAACCAATAAACCAGCAGTTGACGCTATCAGGAAAGGTATGGAGATGTGGCAAGGGAAAGTACCCAGGAGGTGTAGAGAGGTTTATTTGAGTGAACCATGGAGGTGTTACTTCGGGTACAGGCTGTACCCTATACTTAACGGTAAGTAGTTAGTATTGGAAAAAGAATCTCGTAGTGTCTTTCAAGATGTAGATACGTTTTGGTACTTCGGAACTCTGAAATTTCACGATTTTTTGGCTGTATCTCTGATTTCTGAAATATAAGCCACAAAAATTAATAATTTAAAGAATCTGAGGATCTTAAATTGTTTATTAAAGCGTTAAATTACAGTATTGTGATCATTTGTTTTCATAAATCGTTATATTAAACCTTGTAAATACGTTACAAAATTCCGCCGCCGCTGATTGTATCATTCCGTTACAAAAACGTGAGCTTTCAACTGAAGCACAAATAAAAATATATCCTCATGCATTTATACCTCTATTGAAACGCATCCGTATTATTTCAGCCGAGCTGTTCGTGTTCCAATGGCTATTCGATGAGGCGCAAATGGACGCGGATAACGTTGGAGCCCCGGTGACGAAGCAACAATGGGACTATATCCACAAAATGGGGGATGCTCTACGGCAAAGCTTCGAGAATGTATCCGCGGTGTTCGCACCATCTTGCATTTCGCATTCAATTCTAACGAAGAAAGACTGGCAGAACGTCAAAATAGACGAAATCTCCATAGCCGATGCTCTGCACTGCTGGGAGCATAAGAACGCGAGGAAGAGGTGGAAGAGGCTGAAGAACGAGATGATCGCCGATCAGGTGAAATCTGTGAACAAGCGCGGTAGAAAGCGCAATAACGTACGGGTGGAAAGTGTTTTAATTTCAAATAATACAAACAGTAGTGTTAGTGAAGGTGAAGAAACGAACAAGAAGAAGAGGAGGAAGCACAGGAAAAATCGGAAGGGGAGGAAAAGGAAGGGTGAGTTAAATTCTTATCGAAGTTATATGAATTAGAATATTACCACCAAGATTAATAAGACCTCTAACTTCCGTTTCAACATTTCATTTCATAATAATTCCTCTGCTATTTAATGTGTCACTTCTTTAGACATAATTTGCAACTGTTACGACATTTATTCCTTTGCTATTAAAGTATTTCAATGGGATACAATGTGGACCTATGCAAAAAGTCCTACGGAGCAATCCAAAAATCATAAATTTAAAAAATGTATAGCAATTTTTTTAAGAAAAAGAACGTTCTTTATTTTTTTGTGGAAAATTATATTGGATCAAATTACAAACTTTTTAGTTATAGTCATTCTCGTAACAATATACCCTCTTATCTTTGTTACTTTCGTATTTAGAACTTTTAGTAAACACCGTATTGGCCGAAATTGTAGGAAACGTTCTTGTGAATTCACTGTACTTAGAATGTTGCATTTCGGAGAAATAAACTAAATTTAAATATTTTTTTGACAGAATACCTACAATATTTCTACATTTGGATAAGTTAAAAGTAAAAGCGCAGAAAAATAAATGACTTAACATAAACAGGCGTTCACTAATAATTTTGTTTGAAACTTTAATAATTAAATACTATGTTTCCATAATGAAAACGAAAGTAAAAATAATGACCTAAACTTCAACTAGCCATTTTTCTGTTTACTTCAAGAAATAGGAGAAAATAGCGGACGGCATTTGAATATAGGAGACAATCCTAGAAGTGCTTAATCAGTTTTGAAATTAATTTTAAGCATAGTTTTGCAAATTGAACGGATTTAATTATTGCAAAGTCTACTTACCATTAAAATAATTCCCTTAGAGTCTGTAAACACCCTGTATCCATTTAGTTATCTCCATTATAAAAGATGTAGTTGACATCTTTACAATTTTAATTCAATACATTTAGCGACATCTAGTAGCATACTCCGGATGTCGCTATTCTTGGCTGTAGATCTCTCGATCGGTGTTATTCTCCTGGCGAATAGTTTTTGTAACAGTCGTTAAACGTCGCTTATTGTATCAGAACCAGGAAATAATGTAACATCAATATCATTAGCATCACAATAAATAGTTTCAGAGAAGCAATTTTCCCTCAGATATAACTAGATGTTAATAATTTCCACGTATGTAAGGAAATCGCAATACTACTAGGTTGGTATTTTCTATTATTATGCATTATATTATGCGATGTTCAATATATTTTCAGAATATTTCAAAATAAACAAAAAAGTTTTACGAGATATGAGTTCTGTCATAAGTTTCAGAAAAAGAAAAGTAAAATTGTAAATACCTAAAAATAAATAAAGAATTGTTCACAAAAACATAAAAGATTGTATTAAATTAAACTGAGAAAAAATAAAATGTGACTTTGACTTGCCATATTTTACAACTATAAGGCCGTGATTGCACTAAATGCGATTTCATAGGAAAATTTGATTACGGCTCCACTACCACATCCTAAAAATTCTAGTTATCATTTTCATTTTTTTAGCAATACCATAACAATTCTTTCATGAAGTTGTTCTTCATATTCAATTCACGGTATTCCGCCACTAAAGTTTCCTATGATCCCCTAATAAAATTCTAAAGGATTCTCTACGAGGTCTTTAAATGACGAACAATACATTAAAAAATATGTAGTAGATACTTAATTAAAAAATATCGAAATAGTTTTGTCTCTTTAATCTTCTAAGAAGAATAAATACACAATTAAACATGATTCTACTAGGACAGCCTATGTGTTGAAAATTAATCTGCACTACATCAACCATCTATTGCATAATTTTATTTATTTTTACATTATCACATTTAAAATTTACTGTATTGTTGTATTTAATAGTTATTTATGTACCAACAAGTGATTCTTTATTGAACGAGCCTTAGATTTATGAGGGAAACGAGTAAGGCGAGTAACGGGCGTGTTCGATAAAGACACTTTACTCGAAAATATCCTTATGTAACAGTACATTCCTTGTTTCAGATCGAATCAGGGAAAACCAGACGAATTACAACAGAACAGTACCCATCACATCGAACAATCTAAATAGTCCAGACAGGAAACCATCAAGGTCAGTCCTACATTCCCAGAAGAGGCCCAATGGTCGCAGATGCACACACAGACGGCTGGAAAGATGTTCGTGGCCTCAGTGCAACCACTCCTGCCCAAGGCTTCACAATCCTTTCACGGGCGAAGAAATGGACTTCATCGAACTGCTCAAGTCCTTTGGATTAGACATGGAAAGCGTCGCCCAAGCTTTGGGCATCGACATGCAGACCTTGAACAACATGGACCATTCTGAGCTACTGAATCTGTTAACTCAGCAATCGAACTGAGTTTTTGTACAATTTTTCAGTCCCAGTGTACAGACGGTTCAAAAATAGGCAGCTGTAAATAGTCACTAGGTGTAAATATGCGTTGATTGTGTAGAAGGAATTTATCGTACTAGTAGGGTAATAGAAATGATGTTCGTTAGAAATGTCTAGAGATTTATTTTGAAGTTTTCGTTGGTTTTCATTTTCAAAAATTATTATTTTTTTAGTCGCTTTATTTATTAAGCCTAGCTTACTTATAGACTGATTATCCCTAGTGCCAATTTCCTACAATTTTGAAATGACTGTAAATATACTGTAATATTTATTGACAGGAAAGTCTTCCCTATTTATTTAAAACGCGTACATAAAATTCTCAAAAATTGGGACCACCCTCCTTACTGTATATAATTACAACGTAAAAACAAGTAAGTTTTTATTTATTGTCGATTTACCTTGTGTTTTGTCTTGTTTGTTTGGAAAACATTAAATATTGTAAATAGTAATATTTATTGTAGAGATATTTTATTTTTATATTGTCTTAAGATACTTCCAAAACATGAATCTCACATGCTCTTTTATTTATTTATTTTTATTAGTAAGCATATTGTATTCATGCCCCAAAGAATATATTGCCCAATTAACACAGGACTGATTTTTGTTCTACCTCAATTGTACAGATTTCTTTAGTCATAGGTTACCTTTGTTGTATTATAACTATTTAATTTGTTTTTTATTATTATTAAAACGTACCTCTCATTTTTATTCTTAAATTTCCTGTATCATTAATTTGAAGGCGATTGTATTATAAGTACCTGTTTTAGAATTATTTTGACATTTTGAATAAAACATTTTTCGAAAAATGACTAGCGATATTTCCTTCACTAAACCCTACTCTCCCTAAAGGTATTTTAAAAGAAGAAATAATATTTCAAGAAGTTGAAAACTATACAGAATTTTATAAAAAATAAAAACAAAACAACCAGAAAAAATAGTCATATAGTGAAAGTCAAAGATAAGCAAAACTCTACTTATCTCGCCAATCTTTCAATATTTGTAATCACTGTTGGGAAATATTATTGAATTGAAAACGTAATACCTACAATTATTATTGAAAAATGGAGAAACATTATCAGAACTATATAAACTATGGTAAATTTGTTGAACGACGTGATAACTGTATAATTATTTTTATGAATATGAGACTTTTCAATGGTTCAGTCAGTAACATTTGATGATTTTTTAACTGATAATCAGAGTCAACGGAAAATGTCGTATATTCTATCGGATGTGTACCAGAATATAGCATTTTTGTAAATTGAAGACTTAATATTAGGTAGGAAAAAGTTCCAAGTAGAACAATTTTTCTGAGGGAGCAACAGATGGACTGATTAAAGCAACAGATATATCCAATATTAAAGTAAATCTTGATATTCTTTACATAAAGTAGTAAAAATAATATGTCTAAATACAATTAAAACAAAAACATATACCTGATACACTAAAATTGTTAAATAATGCCATAATTCTTAAGAAATATATTATATTTCTATTGTTCTAACGTCATTCTTGACAAATATGTAAAAAATAGCTACTATAAAGACATTCAATAATTTACAGGCTTTACTTAGGTTTGTTTCTAATATGTACTCTTTTTATATTACAAGCTTGCATTTCAATGAGCATAAAGTTTTGGAACATACCATTGCAATGTTTTCCTAGAAAGAAACGTATATTTGTTTTTATAATTCTCATAAAACGATTGCATCCCTAATATTCATATTTTTGTATTAATTTTTAAATCTAACGGGGAGTATTTACAACTTTAGCAAGTTATTAATTACTCATACTCATTATTTCTGCTCTGGTTTACTAAATATAACATATACAAGCCATTCGAAAATGTTAGACTTTTCCCAACAGCAGTACGTAATCAATTATTTATCAATTTCAATGTTCTCCAAATAACCAGAATTATATTAATGCTGTTTTAGTTAGTATGGCGACCTTGTGGTGTTTCAGTTATTTTTTATTAAAGATTTACCATCCTTTGTCCGCTGGGAGAGAATTTCTGCTCCCACATAAAAATTTGCATTGAAATACCCACGGCACATGGTCAGAAAGCTAATATGTCTCACTGGCTGTAAACTCTGAATAAATACGAGATGTTATAACCAACTCAAAACAGCAAAAAAAAAACACTTCGTCGAGGCGTTTAAAGACAAGAGACCGCCATAACCATAATAGTAATTTAATTCCTGAGACGGACAAACAGACATTAAGTTTTCAGGATTCGAGGTAAAGCTTAATTGGTGCTAAGCGTCGTCGACCTAAACCTCCGCTAAATTAAGATAAAACTCGATTAACGCTAATTGTATGCACAGACAAATAAGTTATCTTATTATGGTTATTGCCTGGGTGGATGGACTAAGAAAAAACTGCCGGGGTGAGTTATAATGTCTCCCGTGTCACTTTCGAATATTTTTTACAATTTGGTTAAGCGGACCGGTAATAATTTTGCTTTATAGTGCCCATTTACCTACCTAGCGCACCAGACGTTTGTTATAAGAGACGCGAGAATATTATTCCAGATGATAATTAAAAAATAATCGTCCTACTGCTACTAAAAATATTGTATTGATAGTGTTGTAGTTTAATTTTGAACACACGATGAAATTTTGCATTGAAAACTGTTTAAAACTGTAAAAAAAATTGTAATAGAAATCGAATTTTTTTATTGAGATACCGAGTAGAAATATCTGCATTGAGAAAAAGAATGACTAGCAGTAAGTAAAGCGAAAAGTTGTATGCAACAGGAGACAAATGCAGCATGTAGACCAAGATTCCTGATGGCTAGTCACCAGTGATAAGTGAATAGGTCATCTAACTGTGACTGCTAACATTGAGTAATTTTTTACTGTACGAATTTAACTATGTTTCTATAATTACCAAAGCTTTCAGTCAAACGTGATTTTGATACATTAAAGGTAAACTGTAATGCTGTAATAATCTAATATTTCAACTACTATAAGTACTTATTTTGTTTCAGATATACAACTCAATTAACTGAACTGTATTGCTAATTTTATTTTCCAAGAGACATGAACATATCATCAACTTGCTTGCTCATTTGGCACAGATAATTCCACATTTATTGATGTATTTTGTCCGTAAAAATGAAAATAAAATGTTATTAAGTAAATGATTGCGCCAAAACGATCACCCAAGGTTGTTTGTCTAAAAAATAACATTTACCAAACCAACAATGTAACATCACAATTTAAGTTAGTATTAGTAAACTATTAGTAAAATGTACTATTGCCATACATTGGGTTGTCGAATTTTTGGTTGGATAAAAGATATATTTTAAATCAAACCGGTTTAGAACAAGAACTAATTTAATATTTTAATTTTATTTCAGTGTCAAAATATCCGATTATACTAGTAAATATAAATAAACAACGAACAGGCCCGGATCCAGAGGGGGTGGCGATGTGGCGATCGCCACCCCCAAAGCAGAACATTTTTTAAAGATCTTCAATTTCTCCAAACGACAACAGGCAGTTAGTCGATATTAATGCAAGTTCCCCTTCCTAACCTATACCTTACGTCATCAAAAAAATAACAACAACAACAACAACAACAACAACAACCACGACGACGACGACGACGACGACGACGACGACGACGACGACGACGACGACGACGACGACGACGACGACGACGACGACGACGACGACGACGACGACGACGACGACGACGACGACGACAACAACGACAACAACAACGACAACGACAACGACAACGACAACGACAACGACAACGACAACGACAACGACAACGACAACGACAACGACAACGACAACGACAACGATAACGATAACGATAATGATAAAGAAGTGCTTTGCGCCACCCCCAAAACCAGTCTCTGGATCCGGGCCTGACAACGAAGCTCAAAGAAGATTGTTCCTGAATATTTACATAATAGTTTATAATCTTAAAACAAAATAATTTCTTGTATATTTACCTACCTTCTGCAAAAACATTTTTTCATTTTTTTAGAGATAGTTTAATTGGAGTTCACACACTTTTTTTTTAAATCTGTAAAATTTAAAATACATCAAAAAATATTACGTTAAAATTACGTCACATAGAAAGCATTGAATTTATCAAAGAAAGAAAGCATTTTCATTGATTTATACCTATCGGATGAAAATAAATTTATTAAAACGATCTTAATGAAAGTAATTTCTTCATATACTGGTTTAAATGTACAAAACCATTCATATTGGTGTTTTAATTATGACTTTTTAACACTTTTTTCTCAAATCTGATGATCTACCACTGATCTTTTGTATAACAATTACAACAAATCAAATTTCTACAAACTGATATTCGCACGAACAGTGAGTGGTCAAAGGCTGACAATAAATGTGTACCAGCCAACGGTGACGTATTCCTCTATAGTAGGTACATATAAATGTTGTTAAATAAAATCAGTAACAATCTAGACGTCAGAGAGTATATACGTACCAATGTATTAGTACTATGATATTCATAGTACTGGATATGTAACTATGAATATGGTTATTACTAGATTTATTAATTTAGGGTGATAGTAAAGAGGAAGATATGTTTCAATTATTTGTTCTAAGTGTTTTCATAGTGTTGACATGTGTAGATGATAATTTATGCTTGGGAGGTAGGTATCTTCTTTGAGCTTGAACCATATTTATGTCTATTTTTTAAATTCACATTATTTTAATTTAACGTATACAATTAATATTTATTGGATATTAGCCGCAAGCGCACAAGCTTATTTTATATTCTCAAAACAAACATGATAAACGTAAAACGAGATATTTGTAATTTGAGAATTCATATACTTTCGTCATTTTGTTGATATAACTATTATAATTATTAGACTTTTATTGCTTTTAGAAATTTCTTTTTGGCATAGTTTTTCATTGAAATGACTTAAGTACGTCACATTTCATAAATTTAAACAAAAAAAAACAAAATATATTAATATCATTGGTCCTGTTCGTTAAATAGAGAAAGAAAAACTAGGTATTACTATTTCCTGAACTAAAAAATTATTTTTTGAAAAAAGAAAACAATTTCCAGGGCCTTATAACCAATAATTAAAGTCAATTAGTATAAATTCCGTAGTGCCCAAGAGCAAAACAACTTACTCTGAATAATTTGAACTAATATGTTGTGGTTACTTAATGTTACATTTTATATGTTGTCAATAATATCGATATTAAACTGAAAAATAATATGTTTTTAATTTTTTGTGTAGTTAGTAATACAATATTTTGCCTGCAATTCACTACACACTACGTAATTCTTGAACAAGAATTTAAAAAATATGAAACAAATACGTTTTTTGGTGAAAGCTATTTAACCTTTTATATTTTTTTGTATTTTAGTCTTTTTAACAAACACATAATTCACGATGGGATCACACTTTTACATAAAACTGGTAATTAGTTTCAAGGTTTACCTCGACTACTATTTAAATGTAATTACCTTCAATTCTTCTAAATGCAAAAGAAATCAGTGATGCAGATTATATTATTCACATTACCAGGAAGCTATTCGTAGTTGCTCTGTTCATATGTAATTTTTCCAAAACGGATGGTTGAGTTTGTTATTATTATTCCAATGAAGTTAAATTTTATTCGAATAACGTATACCTTTGTGTTGCTCAATGAAAAAACTCAATATTGACGGTTTCAAAACAATGATTTTACCGCGTTTAATCTGATAAGATGTATTTTTTTCTTTACTTTCTATTTGCTTACGTGATACATCAAAACAATCAACTTTATATATTGCTTTGTTCCTTAAACATATTAAGGATTAAAATTAAATGTAGGTATAATCAAAAAAATTAAAGGGAATAAAGTCTGGATAATTTAAACTATACCCCTTGCTTGCTACCTTATGAAATAAAGATGTTACAGAATGTTAATAACTTGGAGCAAAAAAAATCTGGTCAAACGGTTATATTTTGTTATCACTACTTGACTTAATTCAGGTAAAAAACAATCATTTCTTATTAATCGATGAGAATTATAATAATTAAGTATAGAAAAAATCTATAAGTACGCCCTTTTGACTTAAAAACTGGTGTGATTAAATGGGTAACTATAATTGCATAAAATAGCATTGTTATCAATGGACTGGCTTCTATTTAATAGTTCGTATGATTTGAAAATATTTCAAACTAATAAAATTTTCAGTATATACGACTTTTCACAATTTGTCATTGATCATTGTAAATAAATCAATATTGATAAAGCTAAGATTTGGGAATTTTTAGTTGACAATGCCGGTCCTGAAATGGTTGTTGGTTAAGCTGGACAGTCAGGTAGTTTGTAATAATTTATAAAGACTGTATATTTATTTACTTCAGCAGTTACATTTGGCGGCAATAATTAGTTCATAAAAAATTTGCAGATACTCTCTTTTGAGTAACAGAGCAAGATAAGGATGAACGTATTTCGGTGAAATGTGAAAAAAAATAGGGAAGGCGAAACATCGCAAAATAGATTTTCGAAACATTAATATATCTCATCTATATTTAGCAGCTATATTTAGACATTTTGATAAGATTATTAATAAATCAATTTTCTTAGTCACAAGACCCATTAATTTAATTGGGAGTAATTAAATTATTCAAGTGTAAACCACCCTCTTATCTTCATGCGAATGTAATGTTAATCTGTCACGTTCTAGTTGAGTGTAAGTCAAAGCGGTCTCTTGAATAATACAGTTGTTTAAATAAACAGGGATGTTATATTTAACATAGGATAAAATAAATAGCGAAAAGAAGTTTTCTTACCTACATTAAAAATGTATAAAAATCAACATAAAATATAAAAAAAATTGCCACCATATTACACTTGGTAAAATATATCATCAGGCAAGGTAGTATTAGAGAATAATGTTGCCCTAAATTTTCTTTGAAGATTTAATACTAGCTTCCCATTTTGTTTTTAGATGATACTGAATGTGGTAGAGTACATTTAACAGTATCCTCTCTAGAAGACACATATCTAGAATTAAACTGGATCACAAATTGTGGTAGTTTAAATGACGTTATACCTGAATATATTTTACTTTCGAGCAAGAACGTGCGAGACAGATATGTAAGTACTAAATCTTCTATGTTCCCTTAACTCATTCCTTAATCTTAACAGTTTTCACAGCACTGATCTTAATTCTTAAGATTGCATTTCCAATTATTTTTTATGATTCAAGTTGAATATAGTAAAATCTATAGTTTGAGAAAACTGACAGTCAATATAACGAAATGGCTATGAAAATTTCATGACTTACAAAAGCAACTTAACCATCATAGCCTTGAATCATTCAATCATTAAAAACAACTACCAAAACCTAGAAATTCAGTTCAGAATTTATTAAGTCAGAATCACATTTCAGAAACATATACATATATTAAATAATGCAGATATATGACTTTCAGGAGGATTCAAACGTACTATTGAAAGTTAAATTCTCGGACTATCCCACCGGTTACTATAGATCAAAGGTGAGATTTGGAGAACCATGGCTTCCAGGAAATTGGGAATACAACGAGAATCTCACCAAAGCAGATCCAGGTCCTCATTGCTTTCCCTACTGGATATCTTCCATCAAAGGCCATCAAATTATCGATTCAAGATGCCTAGCTATTCAGCCAACTTGGATGAGCGATAATAGGTACAGAACAAAGGTATTTATTGATGAAAATTGGAGATTTGTGTGAAAATGATCTAGAAAATGTGAACCTTAAGTAATAACGCAGCAAGAATGTTACGTTGAAAACATCACTGGTTTTTTTAATTGCATCAAATCTACACTGAGGGAAATTAGCAGCTACGTTAACGTACTTAAGGTTATAAGATGGAATTGCAGCAATAAATAAACTTTTTACCCATTAGTAAGTTCCTTCAGCAAAAAGGTTTTTTTTTATGACGACAGCGTCGACAGCGTAACCTTTCCGGAGCCTATTCAATGCATATATTTCCCTCAGTGTATCCTTCTAATAGCAACAACTAATTAAAAAGTGTTAAAGTAGGAATTTCACTTAATAATTGCATTTACCTATTTTCTTCAAGTTAACCTTGATTTCCTCAGACGTACGCTGAACCCATCCACAAAATAATCCCATTAGATTAACAAATTTAGGACCCTTTAGTTATCCATCCGATACAATGAAATATTTCGTACAAACACATTAACCAAATTATTCTAGTGGCATATTTGACAATTACTTCCTCTCGAAAATAAACCATCTACTTTAACAATTATTCGCTGCAAAAGGGGAGTAAATATAAATGCATATGTCTTCGGATTCGTTACATATTGTAGTAGGTGTGCGTGTTATTTTTAGTAAAACTATTGGGAACAACAGGATCGGGTCTATGTTTATTCCCGGGACACACAATTCTGGATCGTTTGGCGGCGCGCCTACCATTTTAGAGAACTATGTTTTAAATCAGGATAGAAGTGTGTGGACTCAGCTTGTATTTGGTATAAGGTACCTGGACTTTAGAATAGGCTACTACGAAAAGAATGGGTAAGTTGATTTAATGTTCATCGAGCAAAAAAGTTTTTTGGAGTACCTATACCATTTAACACGTAAAGTTGACAAATTGCAATATCACTTCAACAATCAAACAAACATAAACGTAAATCTTTGACAAGTCAACAGCTATCGGCAACCGCATTTTTTGTGATTGCTTTCTTAATTGACTTTCATCAAAATTCATCTGTCGTTGAAAACTCATAATCACTATCAAATATTTTTAACTCTTAAGAATGGCAGCTTAACTTTTTAATGGTGTTTAGTAACGACACTCGAATAATACTAACCATCAAAGTGACATTTACGCTTCGCTACAGTTTTTAATCAAGCCGTTCCTGGTTCCGGCAATAAAAAATGACTTTTTACACTTATGTCTTAAATAGTTCATTTTTGTTTTCCTTTTACAGGTTTTACATTAACCATGACTTGTTCATGATAACCAAGATCAACCCCATCCTCAAAGAAATAAAGAAGTTCGTCGAATTAGCACCAAAGGAAGTGATAGTAGTAGATTTTCACAGATTTCCATATCCAACAAACTTTTCTTACAACTTACATAAGAAATTTACTGATCTTGTATACCAGGAACTGGGAAATTATGCTTTGCCCACCAAGGACTTACAAGTTGGAAAAGGGCCGTCTCTGAACGAAATTTGGGCGAGGAATAAAAACTTGATTATATGTTACGCGGACAGAGCCACAGTCCGAGGTAAAATAGGAGATATTTCGCAATGAAGCTATCATAAACACATTAATATATTTATCATGGCGAAGGCTATGTTATTGTTTGTTATATTTTCAAATTATGTCAACATGTTTAGGACAGTTTATTACTTAACTCAACATTAAGCAACAACAACATTTTTGTAAACAGGAACGGTAAATCTATGCATAATTTTAAACGAAATTTTAATTATATGTGGTGATATATATCACATATCTTCAACTAAATGAAGAAAAGCAAAAAGTACGTAACAGTCAGAATAATGTTTATACCTTTGATGATTTTTTACTATACAAATAGAACTTAGGGTTGCACAGAATATTTTTCATTAAAACTTGTCTTATCCTATTTAAGTATGTTGGTGTTGGTACGTCTATTTCCTTGCTATGCTATAGATAAATTGTTAAATAAAATGTACCTTAACAATTTTTTTCAATTAACTTAGATTTAGATAAATAAATTTAAAATTGAGGTTATGTGTTAATTTGTTTCACCATCTTGGAGTTAGAAAACTGTTAGGTATTCTACGATATAGGTTTGTTAAGAATAGTCACCAATTAAATTAATATAGAATATAACCAACTTTTAACAACGAATTTCATCATCTTCTTCTTCATCTTCTAGCAAACTACTGGCTTTGGAACCCCATGCAGCAATTCTGGGGCAACACCAAGAGAGTTCCTGAACTGAAGAGGTTTCTGGCCAAGTCGATAACAGATCACCGCCTCACTATCAACCCCATGTGGGCCCTTATGGCAGAGTTAACTCCCAGCCCAATAGATTTCGTCCTCAGGACGAATAATCTGAGAAAATTGGCCGACGACGTGAATAGGCACGTCACAAAGTGGATAAGAGACGAGTGGGGAAAGCAAGTCAACGTTGTAGCGTCTGATTATTTCTTAGGAAACGATCTCATCAATATTGCTATCAACATCAACTCTCGGAACGGGACATAACTAAGTACAATAATTTTACAAATAAACTATTTTGTAGATATATCTTGTTTTACTGTGATTAAAATAATCAAACTTAATTCAGTATTACTTTTAGGTATCTTCTGAAGAAAGACAATATGCTAGAGTGCTATTACCCAATTTCAATCTTTGCTCAAATTCAATTAAACTAGTTAAAAGTAGTAGAATATTTTTAATGAGAGATATTATTTACAAGTTCTTCATTACATAGCTAAATCAGTTCTTTACATTATACGATAATGAATGAAACTTATACAAAAAAAAAATAATAAAAAAAAGTCTAAATTAGGCAGCAATAAATAAACAATACGTAACTAGAAGATTAGTATTTATCAACATTAAATCAAAGTCTTTTTTGGTCTTTCCTTATTTTACACGTCTACAATCTACGAAATGTACATGTATTTCAAATACAACTCACGTTACACTGTAACTCAATCTTTACACAGTAAAGAATATATTTGGTTGCTTAAAATACATACAATCTGTTTAAAGGCATTTCAACTATAACTTATATCACAGATAAGGTATTATCAGTGGACTTGATCTCGTTTTCGATGCTTGGCAAGTGGTCGAGCACGAGAGACGTTTCCCCTATTGGTGCCGCCGAGTCCACTAAGTTCTGGGCGCTCAGAGAGGCCATGTTGTCGTTGAAAGTGGCATTTCTCACGTTATTCGATGGTCTAATGGTACTCCTCCTAAAGCTGCTTCTCAAAATGGAAGCAACCTCGGCTGCAGTCAAATTGCCAGTCGCGTCCAAGTTCCTCAAACGTTCCAATGTAGAAATCCTTGTGTTAGATGTAGCTCCGTCAGGAACCGTTATGGCGATGTCATTGGAGTTTGACGTGGTGTTGTTCATCTCGACTAATACAGCATTATAGTCGGGAGGCGGAGGCTGTGTCTGGGTATTAGACAGCATCGTCCTTTGTCTTGAATTGCTCCCCTCACCCAAGACGTTAGCGATTCTCCTCACGCTCCGTCTAATGCTCTGCCGTAGGAATTTGGCTATTCTAGCTCCAGTAGCTGTAGTGTATGAAGGTGGAGGGGTGTATTTTGGAGGAGGATCTTCGCTTACAACGTTTGCGTTAGTTGTGCCATTGTTAGCTGCTGCAGCTGCCTCTTGGACTGCTAGGTCATCCATGTGTTCTCCGATTGGCGGGCGGTACAGTAACTGAACCCTCTGAAAGAAACGTCCATCAATAACATGAAGCAAACTGGGATTAGAATCAAATACTAACATAGTTCGTAGGATCCTCATACTCCTAACAGCGTGCATTTTAAGAGACAAGAGATTAATTATTCTTTTTCAGAGAAATCAAATGATTGGTATGCGTTTACTTACATCTAATATATCGTTGGGTCCGTTGTTCAAGTATCTGTAACTTTGGATGACAGCCACGAGTGGTATGCAGAGAATTGGAAGAAGCTGAATCATAGAACCTATCTGTCTTGACCACAAAGGCCAATATTCTGCCACCGGGGCGTGGTGCCAAATGAACATGTCCCTAAAGCTGCCATTCTTAAATGTAGAAATACATAATACCTACAAAATGAAAGTTTAAAGTGAATCACGATTAACAAGTATACAACTCAGTATTAACCATTAAGGCAACCGGCAGGATTACGTTCCAAGTGAAGGACAGCAAAGCTGGCGCCCAACTTAAGAGACACGGATGATGGCTTGGTTGGAAGAGTGCCGTTACTACTGTATCTCCACTATAAGGCCTCCCACGAACCATGAAAACTGCTATTATTTGCAAGAGGATAACAATGATTAACCACCAAAAGCCTCCTATTGTGTAATCGAAGAAGTATACCACGTATATCCCGAGCTAAAACAAGACTTTAATGTTATTCATGTTTATCAAATGACAGTAACTCAATACCAACCTCTGTCGCCATTGGGAGCCCCAAGATGAACCCGCAAGCGCAAGTGAAGAAAGTGATGGTTGTTTCCCAAGACTTTAATACCTTAGCCTTGATCGCCATAATTCCAGTGATGACACAGTGCCAGATGGCTAGTTGCTGGGCTATGCCGAACATGATAAGGATGAAATAGAACAGAACTGCCCAAAATGGGGACACCTGATCTGATCCCATGATCGCAAATGTGGCTGGAACCAATTCAGTCGCCAAACGTAGAACCTTTAGGAAACGTACGTCATACATGTTTTTTTTAATAATCAAAGCGAATGTAGCTTACCTGATATCCACTTTCAGAAGTGTAGTCCACACCTGGTCGCACGATCTTCTCTCCAAGCATGAACGAGTTGTGAACCATGTATCTAACGGGAGTACTGGCTAAACTAGGAGGTAGAGGGTCTTTAGCGGGTCGTAAGAAGATGTATGAGGACATCCTTTCTGGAAGCGTAAAAGTGATCGTGAATGCGGACATTATAATGTAAACAAAGATATACTGACCGAAAGAGTCTGGTAAATAGCTATTACCGTAGGACTTGAGTATCTGAACACACGTATTCGCTAAGAAGGCAACTAACAGTAATATCGTAATAGTTATTACAGCTACAAGACTAGAATCTCTTTGAAGCAAATGTTTGTGTTTGTTGTGTGATGCTATCTGCATTATAGCCGCGCCTAGTAGACCCCAAGTTAGAAACGTCTCTTGGGCAGCTGCCAGCCAACTCTGAAAAACAACAACGTACTTAGTATTGCTGATATTATTCCAATATTTATAAGTAAATCCATATAGACATAAAAGAAATTATTCTTATAAGAAAAATTGGTAATTACCTTGGGATTCAGGAAGAATTCTCCCCAAGAGGTCTCTGGAAAAATAACATTGACATATTCAGGTGGCATTAGTCCCAATATTTTCGCGCAGAGAATAAATGTACCAAACACCGGCAATAACGTGAAGGCGTATATGACTTTTCCGTAAGATCTCAACCCCTTGCTGAGCGATACGAATACAATCATCCACACGACAGCCAGGTTGAAAGCCAATTGAAATTTTATAGTCCCGTAGGCGTTCCCGGAAGGAAGATGATGTCTTTGGAGTACAATGCCGTTGAAGTAGTCTGGAATTGTCTCTGACAGTTTGTACGTGCCATTTACAGGAGGCTGAATATCTGAAATAAAGTAACAATACTTTTTAAAGATATAAAATTAATAATAACGTATGTTCTTCGTCAATAAATGAACTTGAAATGTTTGCTTTAATAGTTGAGATGAAAGTTGGTATAAATAAATATTTATAGTGTGTAAACCAATACGGAAATAGTACATATGAATGCGTCAAACGTTTATTCTAGAACAATTGACGTTAGATTAACTTCATCACATTAGTTTAGTTTATACGTTTTTTCGGGTAGAAGAAAGTATTAAAAACAATATTTTTCGATAATGATAAGACGTCAATCAAATACGAAAAATAGAACAGGAAATGTAAACAAGTTTCTAGCATAATGTGGATAGTGCAAGGAGTGCAAACAAAATAAATGTTTTATCACACAATAATATATCAAACAATATGTGACTTGATTGTATACAAAATGTAGGATATTACTTTCAACTAACAAACTGATATGGCTAACATTAAATAATTAGAATATCAATTTTTATCAGTCAGAAATTGAGGTCATATTTTTTAAATTAGGATTTGGAATGTTGACCGAAAAGAGAGTTTTTAAGGTTTTCAATGATGTGTTATAAATATACAAAAATCAGTAACATGTCGAAAAAACGCAGTAACACAGAAAGCTATAAATAATTGATGATGGTTATTTGAAATTGCAAAGTTTGAAAAAATCTGAATTCATAGTGAAATGCTTTGCAAATGGATTTTCACAGATTTCGAAAATTCGTAAAAATAAAAAGGATGTCTCAAAGAAATAAAAAAAAATCTAATTATACAAATTTTTCCCGTACGATGCGCACCTTTTGTCTGCCACGGCGTATTTTTTACTTTATTTTATAAAATAATATTTATACTCACCACTCCTGTAGTATATAAACGGTTCCGCCCACCTATACTTGTCCACTTTGGTGATGAAGGAGTCACGAAAAAACACGAACATCCACGACACCCCTATGATGCTGTACAACCCCATCAGGGCCTGAGCTATGAGCAGGGACACCCCCACCCCCTGGAACAGCGGTGATATCCTCCACATATCTATCACCCCCGCCCCCAACTGCTGCCCCAGGCAGAGCTGAAGCGTGAACAGCGGCAGGCCGAAGATCAGAGACAAGAAAATGAACTGGAAGATGAAATTGGCTCCGAAGTGGATCGTCAAAATGGCAAATCGGGAAAGGTTGAATAGCCCCAGAGTGCAGCCGAGACATGCCATCATGGAGCTGAGGCTGTGCGGCCAGTGACCCAAAGGGCTGTCCGCCTCCGGCATGTCCGTCTGTCTGTTCCTCTCACATGATCTGAAACAAAGTGAAGAGATTTTATAAAAATATTACCATTCTAACAGGGCACATGACGTACAAACTGGGTAATCCATAATTCTCTTTTTATTGCAGTTGGCATCTTTACTACAGAACAAAATATAAGTAAAAGGGTGTGTGGAATCAAAACATGCAGTTATAAAAACAACGGAACATCAATTAAAATCTATATAGCCAAAAACTGATTTGTACAGAAAAAACTTGCACTTTTTATAGAATAATATGGGTCGCATTTTCGAATTCCGTTTTTTTTTTAATTTTATATTAATTGCAGTGGTCTAGGTTTTAGAAAGTTACTTATATCACATTTTCTAACATATATTTGAGGGAATTTAACGTAGAATATTGAAACTAGCCAGTGGCAGAGATACGAGGGGCTGGTATCATTAGAAGCCTCATACTTTCGACGCCAATGACTATTCTGCCAATTTGATTAGTGCTTTTTATTATACTTATTCGAAATTTGTAAGAAAAAATATATCTTACACTTAAAGCGATAAAATTTGAAGCAAGCAAAGATCAAAGTAAGCATGAAATTTTGCACAAAACGTAGTTTTTTATTCTAGAAACTTTCGTTAATAAATTTTGTGGCACCCTACATAAAAATGACACTTTAACAGTGAGTTTTCTAAATTTCAATGACTTACTACATTTTACGGATTTGAAATAATGGCAGATTTTGTTTCACAAAGAAGCTGTCTAAATCCCAGAAAGCCATTTTTTAACATCTATATTTTTTTGCACCTTGCAAAAGCTAAATAACCCGTTATATGTGCCCACTTTCTTTACCCTTAGCAGAAGCGTAACTCGACAGACTTTTTATACACATGATCTATTCTAAATTATAACTTATGTCACTAACACAATAATATTCGAACTGATTTCAAATCTTATATATCCCTTTCTTAGTAGAGATTTCAGATAAACCTACCTACTTACACTTACTAAAGTAGATTAAATTAAAGCCTAGGCATTACCGATCCCATGAATATTAAGAAAGATAACGGTACACCTAAGTAGGCTTTCGAAAGGCTGATAATTTTCATCGATCATTGTATTTTTACAACTGCAGCATTAAAGAGCATGATAGACTTTTACGTTTGTTTTTATCATCATTTCCATATTGATGTTACTTTTATTATTGTTTTCAGTAACAATACATAAAAACAATAATACTCTTCTGTATTAACTAATAAGTAAAGTAGGTTAAGGCATACTTCATAACCAGTTGAAAGTAGTAATATTACCGATACGTTATATAAGTATAAATTTGCAATTTTTTCATAAATTCCTTCGTTTCCGTCTTACTTTTACCATTTTTAAAGTTAAAACTAATTTTACCCTTAATCGTCTTCGTTCCAATGAAAAAACCTCGACTCAATTCCAACATATCAAAGATTATTTTAATTAACAAGTTCTAGTAATTTTCAGACCTAAAAAAAATACGTCCACAGGCGCAAAAAATTTAATGAATACTTATATTTCCAAAGCCGCAATTTGCGTCCGAATGTAAAACAATAATTATAAGAACGGCAGGGTAAGTTACGTCATGCGGTTATACCTAACAAGAGCAACATAAATCCTGAAAACGCTCGGTAGATTAAGATCTGATTTAATTATTACCTGCTGCGAACGTCCTTGAATAGAAAAGAGAACCAACATACAAACACAATAACGTTCAGAAAAATTATTGCACGATGTAAATAAACGTTAATTTTTAGACTGCTTTTAAGTTTCGTTTTTGGCATGGATATACAGGCTGACATACAATAAGAATAATGCTATAATAATTACAATAAAATTTACGTAGGTATTCACACAAATACAAATGTGTCTACCTACTTAGTATCTACAAAGAGAGAAACAGTATATAGATGGGTTAAATTATTAACATCACCCTGTATATCCCCATGTGGACTACATAATTGCGGATTTGCCGAAGTAGCCCGCAGCTAGCACGTAGCTAAGAATAATAAATTGATAGTTATCCGGCTGGCAACTGGAATGCAAACGAGGTTACTCTTGCGACTGGACATTAATGTTTTGTAAAAAGGAAAATAAAATAGTTTAGTGGAAGTTTGAAAACAAATTATGCTATTGAGAAAAATAACGGTTAAATATCGATTACTTTCAATATTCGCTTTTATAATTTTTGAAACATAACTGTACGTCTAGTGATCTTACTTTTACTCAAAAGTATTAAAATCATTCAAAATTATTCTAAATTTTCCTAAATTCTCATCAAATGAAGTTATACAGGGCCACGTATGTATATCAAAATGAAAGAATACATTTAAATAAAATTCACAATTTAGTGAATTTTTAATATTCATCTTTTCCAAGATATCTAATAGTTTTTACACAATTATTTTTTAATTCAAGGTCCCGACAAAAATTGTTGTTAAAAAGAAAATTTCGAAAAACGGTATGATTGTTGGTAATGACTACTTTTGATTAAAATATACATATATACTTAAATTCCATGATCAAATGGAAAATAGGGGGTCACATTAGACAATAAGGCGATTATACCACCTTTAAATTAAGGATCTAAATGATCCGTAAAAGGTGGCCCTCAAGGTGACCTCAAAAAATTAATTGTAATAATAAAATCAATATAACAATGTTTCTATATTCATTATATATTCTAATTTGGCTTTACATATTCACAAATGTCCATAATTTGTCAAAACTTGTATTGATTATACTATTAAGTAATTCTAATGTTCATTACTACTTTTTCACTTTCTTCGATTTATTGTTTTCATTATCAAATTGTCTTTCTTTGTTGCTTATTATGCGATACTGTATCGACCACAATTAAACAAATATTTTGCCAGCCAACTTTCGAATATTGTGTCATTGGAGCTGCCCGGCTATTGTGGTATTGAATTTATGGTAAACTTGCGTGCAATGCTTGTAGCAAGCCACTGTCCAGACATGCAACGCTAGAACGTCCAAAAAAATCGATGTCTAAGTTTAACACACACACGAAAGCTAGAAAAGCGTGATCGCAATATTTTAATGTTCACAAATCAAGAAATTACTAACGATGACGAGTGCTGTACATACTTATTAATTTTGTCAGTTTCTTGTCATGTTTTATAGTTATGCCTATACAAGGTGTCTTCATTTAAGTACCTTAAAACAGGTAATAAAAAAATTAATTTTAAACAAAGATTTGCAAAGAAACATATACTCCGAGACCCTGTAATAAAAAAAGGTTTTTATTTTTTATTTTTCAGTTTTATTTATGTATTTATTTGCGTATATGTTTATTTATTTTATTATTAGTCTTTAGCAGCTGCTGTAAACTTGACAGAAAAGGCAACATAATTAACATTTTAACTGTACCAGTGGCGGAATAATGAGTAATCGGTCACTATTATAGTTCAACAAAAACAGGTGCAAAATGAAAAGCTACCTCTTGACATTTTTTCGTATGTCACAGTTACGCCACGCCGCCGTTGATTTTCAGAAAATTCCAAGCTCATAGATGCTTTTGCTAGAATTTTAAATAAAATGGTAGATTTCTGTACGATCTGTCAATTTGTGGAATGTTTGTTAGTGGTCTACACAATGAGGGATAAGGTGGCAGAAATCAAGAATATGAAGCCCGAAGACAAGTGGACATAAAGTACGATAGGCAATTGTTAGACGTTCTTGATGAAGATAACAGTTTATACACTCACAGAGGGTTCAATTGACAAATGTCCCAAAATCTCCCATCTGGAACACATTAAAATTAATTCATCTCCAACCTGTGCAACACTTTACATTCGCAAGATCTAGAACGTACCTCAACTTTTCGCAGATGGCTCCCTAACAGACTAAAAGAAGATGCTCACTTCTGCTCAAAAATATTATGAGTAGATGAGTAGTGATGTAAAAATTATTGCTAATTATAGCAAATAAGGCAAATATGAGATTTTACACAATTTTTGCATTAATACAAATCTCAATAAGGGGGGAAAATTAAGTTATATTTCATTTTGCCTCCCTATCTTACGTTTTCCCTAAAATACTCGTAATATATTTGTCAAATCTGGAAATTCAAGGCGTAGCTTATTGATGTAGCCATATTTTATTTCATTGATGTTTGCTTATATGTACTCGTACATATACGGTTAAGTTACAGTTAAGGATATTCTTTAATAATAATTTAATAATAGCATTTTTCTAGGCGAGTTTTAACAATCGTTTAAAAACAGTTTTACATGATTTATAATGCTAGCAAAAATGTAAAATTAGAAACTATATGAAATAAATAACTTAAAATTTTAATGCGTTAGCAATTCATCAATTTCTCTTTTTAATTAGGAAAATAATGTCGATTAGTAAATTACATAAAATATTTAAAAAAAATTCACGTGAGAACGATAGAATATATTTTAAAATTGACAGCCTATATCGAAAAGGTCCTTAAATATGTTTCAAATCAAAATCGACCAATTTCATATTTGTCGTCGTATATTAAAAAAGAAAATATAAACAGGTCGAATTTTCAACTTTTCTCTGATCATATTAATGTGTTCTTTAAATAGAGTAAAGTAAAACATGTAGCATAATTTTTTTAAAATATATATACAGGATGTACTAAAATACTTGACCAGATAGCGGATTCTACTTAAAAAAATCTATTTTTTTCCCAGATTGTAACATCTTGCATCTCGAAAATTAACAGTTTCCGGTCACATATTTATATAAAAACTTTTTTGTTAATCTGCCCGTAGAATCTGCCAAGTATTTTAATTACACTCTATATACAGGGTAAGTCGAGAGAAACGCCGAAACCCTAGGACTGTATTTTATGCCTAAAAATAATTATAATAATAATAGTCTAATATTGATATAGGATATTTATTTGTTTTCAAGTTAAACGTCATGTAACAAAAACTTTGTCCTATTGTACCTCTCATGTAGTAAATGGTTGTACTATTGCTAGTTTTCAAATTACTGGATCTTAAATTAACAAAACA